CATTCGCGACCTGCTGGCCACCGACGTCACCAAGCGGCTGGCCCTTCGAGAGCGCCCCGACACCGGCGTCTACGTGGAGGACCTCTCCAGCTTCGTCTGCAAGAGCGTCGGCGAGATTGAGCGCGTCCTGGTGAAGGGGCGGCAGAACCGAGCCGTCGGCGCCACCAACATGAACGAGCACAGCAGCCGCTCGCACGCCATCTTCCTCGTCACCATTGAGCACAGCGAGCGGGACCCGGCGACGGGCGTGGAGCACATTCGCGTCGNAGCACAGCAGCCGCTCGCACGCCATCTTCCTCGTCACCATTGAGCACAGCGAGCGGGACCCGGCGACGGGCGTGGAGCACATTCGCGTCGGCAAGCTCAATCTGGTGGACCTGGCGGGCAGCGAGCGCCTCGGCAAGACACAGACGGCGGGCAAACGTGCCAAGGAGGGCATCACCATCAACCTCAGCCTGTCGGCGCTGAGCAACGTCATCTCGGCGCTAGTGGACGGCCGCACCAAGCGGCACATTCCCTACCGCGACTCGAAGCTGACGCGGCTGCTGCAGGACAGCCTGGGCGGCAACGCCCGCACGGTGATGGTCGCCAACATTGGCCCCTCGGCGTACAACTACGAGGAGACGCTGACGACGCTGCGGTACGCCAGCCGGGCGAAGAACATCCAGAACAAGCCCAAGATCAACGAGGACCCGAAGGACACGCTGCTGAAGGAGTTCCAGGCGGAGATTGAGCGGCTGCGGTTGCAGCTCGAAGAGCGGCGGCGGCTGAAGCTGACGGCCAGCAGCGTCAGCGGTAAAACATCGTCTGAAGATGTCACCAGTGACCAGCTCCCAGCCACCATGATCGACGTGGAGGCAAGTGAGCGGTTGCAAGCTCGTATCCGCGCCATGGAGAGCAAAATGCTGGTCGGAGGAAAGAACATTGTCGACCACACCAATGAACAGCAACGTGAGCTGGAGACGCGGATGGACCAGCTGCGGGCGCAACGGCAGCGGGAGCGAGCCATGGTCCGCCAGCTGGAGGAGCAGGAGGAGGCGACGCAGGAGGTGCGGGAGACCTTCACCTCACTGCAGCAGGAGGTGGAGATGAAGCGGCGGAAGCTGCGAAAGGTAGTCAAGGAGTTTCAGGTGAGTAGAAAGACTGTTTGTAGAGTGTTCTATTTGTCTTCCTTTTCGTTTTGTTTACATTCTTTTTCTCCTGTGCAGTCCATCAACTCTGAGATTCGCGACCTCCACGAAACGGCCTCCGAGGAGCGGCGCGAGCTGGAGCGCATCTCCAGCGACCTGA